GATACACTGAGGCTGGAAGTGAGACCGCTGCTCAGCGCGATTCCCGAATGTCGCATGGCACTGCATCACCGACAAAGTCCCACCCCTCTCAACCGGACATGAGAGCTTTGTCTCCTTCGTCATCGATACCCAGCAACGTAATGGGCAGAGGCTTTGACGAACAATCTGAATTCAGCGTCATAGAACCCGGTCACGGCTTCCCCAACAGCGAGTTGACGCAGAACAGCGAGGCTGGCTACAGACAGAGCGAGCTGACACAGGACAGCGAACCTGGGTACAGGCAGAGTGAGCTTACGCAGGATAGCGAGGCTGGATACAGACAGAGCGAACTCACGCAAGACAGCGAGGCTGGATACAGGAACAGCCAGCTCACGGAGAACAGCGATGCTGGTTACCGCAATAGCCAGTACACCGAAGGCAGTGATGTCTTGGGATCCGGCCAGGCCGTACGCGGTATTATGGCCAACCCCAACATTATCCACGTAGCGAACGGCGTGGAATCAAATGTAGCTTCCTTGATCGACGGGTCCATGCTCGATCAGTCTATCATGACCACTGGATCTGGTTACGAGTACGGAAGGGATTCTCAAGTCTCTTACGGAGACTCCAACATTTCGTACGATGACCAGCCTAGCAAGCTTAACATTCGATCGCGCGAGGTCAGCCCCGAGAAGGGCTCCGTCGCTAGCCACCGCGAATTCTTCGAGCAGCGTGAGCGTGAGAGCAGCCGGACGCCTACCTCTAGCCGCCAGAGCAGGTCAAGAGAGTTCAATGGAGAGTACGACCTCGATGAGTACGGTAGGAAGGTTGCTCCTTTGAGGTACAAGAACTCCCCATCCACCTCAACAAGACACTCGCCCACGGCTTCCGAGAAGGCGATCGCCGCAGGAGCCGTCGGCGCTGCCGCTGCCGCTCTGAAAGCTGCGAAGGATAGGAAGCAGCCAACTGTTGAAGAAGTCGATGAGGAACAAGACGAGTGGGTTGGTGACGGCATTGGACGAAACAAGTCTTTCAAGCAGCGAACTATGGAGGGACGCGAGCCCAACCACACTCCGGCTCACAGTGTCGACCGCCTCGACTTGGAAGACCAGCCAAAGATGGGTGCTAGTGCCATGCCCGCCTTACATGATCCCATGCCTGAGGTCGGATACGTCGACGACGACGCCCTGACCAACCCGTCTCTCGTCCGCGAACCCCTTGGCGGTAGCGATAATGACGACCACGGTCACTGGCCTGGAGACGTTACCCCTCGCCAGAGCGATGTCGGCACATTTGAGGAGTACAGTGAAAAGCATGGCCATGGCTTGGGCATGGCCGCCGCCGGTGCTGCCGCAGGGGCTGCTGTCGGGGCAGCTTTGGCTCACCACCGCCAGCCTAGTCAAGAACACGAGGATGAGTGGCGGCGCACATCAGCCGAGCGGAAGCGGGACACTGTCATCACAAACCCGTATGACGGTGCCAGCCCCATTGACAATCCCGACCTCCTCGGCGCCCGCGGCTTCGATGATGCTTACGATGCTCATTACCATGGCAGCCCTGGTCACAAGAACCTGGACGAAGGCTACATCTCCCAGGGCCCCCTTCAATCGCCCAACGGCCAGCCCAAGGGCAAGGCTCTTATGCCTTTCAACGATCCCGGTGCGGAGGATCCCTTCTACATGCCCCAGCACGCGAGGCACCTCAGTGGCATGTCTCAGGGCATGGCCTCTCCCATTTACGACGCTTCCACCGGAAACGGGATTGACAGCATCGAGTCCAAGGACATCATCGCTCTTATGCAACATGTAAGTTTGTGAACGATTCCACATTTGAATACGCACTGACATTCTCCAGCTCATGGTCCGCGACGCCCAAAGAAGCGCCCGAGACACTGAAATTCTTGTTACCCTGGTCCGTTCCGCAGCTGAGATGCGCAACTCCTTTGAGGACCTCAAGAAGCTCCTTGCCAACACTGAAGACGTCATTATCAAGGAGGTCCAGGAGAACACCGAGGAGACGGTCAAGAACGTTATCGGCGGTCCCCGTCCCTACCCCGGCAGCCTTCCCCCGCGATCCATCAAGGGCCTGAGCGGTGCAGCTTCCCAGCATAGCACCCTTGATGAGACGACCAAGAAGAGCAACTTCTTCCGCAAGGCTCTCAAGGGTCTCAGCAATAAGGGCACAAATGATCTTGGCAGAATTGAGGACATGTTGAACCAGCTTTTGAGCGAGGTCGACACCCTCAAGGCCCAGACTGTGCGACCTGGCGGTGGTCAGTCTTATGAGAATCTTGGCCAAGAGATGCAGTACGAGCAAGACCGCGGCTACGAGCCTGAGGGCCAGGCTGGCACCTCCTCCACAAGCCATGGCTCGGGCATGTCTTCCTTCGCCCAGTCGCGTGGTCCTTCAAAGATGGGATACGAACCCAACCGTATCAGCACGGTCCACGAAGACAATGAGGAGGAATACCACCAGGGTCTGCAGACTCCTAGAAGTGAATTCCAGCGTGCCGACTCTATGCCTCTTAGTACACCTCCCCAACAACCCCACACGCGCAACGCATCAATGAGCAACGAGAACACACCAAAGACGGAGAAGGCGAAGAAGCATAAGTCCCGAGGATCCTCCAGCTGGTTCCCCAAGATTTCCCGGTGGTCTGAGTCGACAGCTACGAGCGTCGGCAAAGCCTTCCGCATGAGCGGTTCCAGCAAGAAAGACCAAGAAGAAGAGTTCCTTCAGCACCCTCCCTCCAGGTCCGGATCTGACTTCCGGTACGATGACCGTTATCAAGATGACTACCAGAGCGATCAGCTGCACTCTGGTTTCTCCCAACAGGACCTCGTTCCTCCCCAACGGCTTGAGACCGTCCCGCCTGCGCCTGGCACTTACATGACCCCTGAGGATCCCAAGTACAAGGCTCACCGTAACTCGGTCAACCTCCAGCATCCCCAGCCTCGCCAAGGACAGACCGAGAGATTCAAGGCAGCATTGGAGAGCCAAGCCTACGAGTACGACACGCCGATGTCGCCCAACACTGCCGACTGGGCCGGTTCGGCTACCAGCTTGAACCGCTTCCCAGCGAATGCCAACAACCGCTACAGCAACTCCGGCGCTGGCACCGGCGAGTACTGGAACTCGTCCCCTGCCGGTCCTCCTCGGCCCCCCAAGGAGCCCATCGATGACAGGGCCACAACCCCTTCTAGGGCCACAACTCCCTCCAGGGCTACCACGCCTTCCAAGGCCCGCATCTCTAAGCTGGCATCGAAGACCAGTCCCCTCCCCTACAACAGCGTTGAGAGCGGCTATGGCACCGGTCCGGGCACCCAGCCCAGCAACTACACCGACAGCCCCAAGCTGGAGAACCGTAACCTCAACGCCGCTCTTGGCATGCCAACTCGCAGGCCCAGCGGACCCCGGGCCATGACCCCCAAGAGTGCGGAGGAGGAAGCCGCTAGGGAAGAGCGACGTCGCAAGAGAGGTAAGCAGACTGTTACGCATGTTGACCAGAGCTTGTTCTAACATTTTTCAGACACTTTTGGCACTGTCGCAAGCAACGAGACCGACACGTTTTAGAAGAAATTTTCCATCGCAACGTCTTTTTATTCGGTACAAGAGAGTGAGCACTGCCACATGAGTTGATGCTACTGGATAGCTTGAACCACATGATCAACCTATAATCATCAGACATATTGAAGCAGATCTGTGCAATCTGCTATAGAAATGGCAGGGAAGGATCTGTCAAGCGGCAACGGACCCAAAAAGGAGAAGAGTCCGGATGGAGGAAGCGGAGGAAACAGAGGGAAAAGTGTTTCGCTACTCGACCTTACGACGACATGACACGCAATTGATGGTTTTGCGTTTGAGCGATGTTTTGAGGGGAGGGAAACAGCGATATGGCCCTTCCCCCCTCAAGTCGAGGCATGAGGATTGGGTTTGAAACGCACATGACGTGAAAGTTGGTTGATACCACATATTTTTCTGGAATCCGGGGGACTGCGTGAGGTATTTCATTCGCAGTCCAAGTTCAGGTAGATACCATAAGGAGGGGACTGTAATTGTAGTCGTGGATAATGGAATTTTCACCCTGCCTTGACAACTTTTGGGCCTTTTGCATGGGAAGTGAATGCGTGATGATGTGGGTTGACTGACGAGTCTTTTTCCTGGATTTATCAGCCAGTCTGAATGATGTATGCAGTCGACTGACGGGTACGGCAGGCTGGGCTGGATTAGTCAAGTCCCGCGCGCGCCTGGCGTTGTTTGGCGGAAGCCCGCCAGATGCTGACGCGGATGTAAATGCGGACGAAGTGCTTTGGTTTTACTAATGCGAGCCGCGCGCATCCTTCGCATACATGCTAGGCGGGGCATGGAGACGATTGACTACCTGTATCAAGGTATGATGATTGAATCCTCAGATGCGACGGTTGTCTCTCGGTTGTGGATTTCCGAGTACTGTCCTGTCTTGGTCGGTCGAGTCTGTGATATATGGGGGTTTGTCAGCGTGGCTAACTCTCTTTTACCTTGGCCCACGCCCATTTCCGATTTGGTCTTTGGGTAAGGAGAAATGTAGCACAACGGTGCCTGCTTGACGCTACTCCCCTCGCTGAACTCGGTGAGGCTCTATTTGGCAACGTTGGAGGAATGGGGGAGTCGGCACCAGGCTCATCTTGCGGCTTGTGTCATTTGTCAGGTCTGGTCGGTGGTCTGCATGGTGATGCGGGAGTATATGCAAGTGAGATTCATGAGGGTGGACGGCGTCGCAAGGGGGTTTAGGCGGCTTTGATCGTCAAGGCATGCCAGGGACTCATCGGTTGGCAATTTACAAAGTCCCTGGGTGCGTGAACCCATGTTCATCAATCTGAATGATGGATATATAAGTCAGTCCTTCAAAGCGTTGCTCGAACCAATCCGTCTTCAAAGCAGAAGCTCTATCCAACATCATCAATACACGATTACACCAAGCTCACGCACACACGCACACACACGCACACACACGCACACACACGCACACACACGCACACAACATGTCTCCCCCGGTCCTCCTCATCCTCGGCGCAGGCTCCCGCGTCGGCGCCAGCATCGCAAAGCACTTCTCCAGCGCAGGCTACTCCATCGCCCTAGTCAGCCGCTCCGCTCCCTCCCCGCCGGCCGTCGACCCGTCGACCTCCTTCCTGCGCGTCCGCGCGGACCTGAGTGTGCCGGCGCAGGTCTCCGCCGCGTTCGCCGCCGTGCGGGCCCACTTCGGCGGCGCGGCGCCGCGGGTGGTGGTCTACAACGCGGCGACGGTCTCGCAGCCGCCTGACGCGGAGAACCTGCTGAGCCTCGATATAGGGACGGTCGAGGGCGATCTGAGGGTGAACGCGCTGGGTGCATATGTGGCGGCGCAGGAGGCCGTGAAGGGGTGGACGGAGGCAGGGGAGGGGAGGGGCCGGTTTATTATGACGGGGAACCATTTGAATACGGGACCGTTGCCTGTTCCGTTTCTTTTGACGCTCGGGATTGGGAAGAGCGCGGCGTGGTATTGGGTTGGGGCTGCTGATGGGTTTTTCAAGGGGAAGGGATGGAGGTGAGTTCGATTGTCACGGGCTCGGGCCGTGAGGATATGCTCTGTGAACGGGGTGCTAACGAAGGTGACAGGTTCTTCTATGCTGATGAGAGGAAGGAGGATGGAAGCGGGGCGGGCGGGGATCTCGGGGCTGAATCTCATGGCAAGTTCTATCTGGAGCTTGCCGACGGGGATGTCGCGGCTTTGCCTTCTGATGTCACTTTTGTTGATGGCGAGTACAAGAAGTTCTGAGTTCACAAGTCAGGCGGCGGCGTATTGATGTGTCAAACGTCGGCGAGGGAGATGGATGATGGAAATTGGGAGGAGGGTGGAAACATTCTAGAAGTCGAGCAAACAGCACCGAAGTTCTCTTAGATGAATAAACTGACCATTCAATCTGTAGGTCATCATACTGTATGAGTTGCTCCGGCGTGATTCTCAACTTGTCAGCAAGACTGTGCTCTCGCAGGCCTGTATGACTATAAATGGGCCAGGTATCGGATACTAGGCAAGAACATCTTAAAAGCACAATAATCCTCTGGATGTTCCTTGATCTCTTCTAGTCTGCGGTATATGCTTCAATATCCGTCTCATTTCCCAAGCACTAAGGATGGAGGAAGCTACAAAGTGAAGTGGCCAAAGCCACAGGCTACACCGTTGTGGTTCATCATCTAGAGAGTATTCTAACGGAATATTCACGCATTCATTATGAGGCTCTCAAGGTACAGACCCGGAGCAATTGCGCCTCGAGCAGGAAACAATGTGACTCGTTTGTATGTTGTAGAGTGTGATTTCCACCACATTTCGCTTGTTTTGAAGTAAGTTTTGCTGTGCATCAAATGTCAAATATATGGAATCTCTACCACGTATCTTAACATGCTGGAGATCTATTAATGTCTGTGACGGAGCCGAGCAAGTTAGACTCACGGTTCTGGCGCTCCCGGTAGCAGGATTAGGTATAAAAGGCAGCCATGTAGTAATTACCCCGTCTCACGCGCCACAAAATGTCCCAGAACTTGAAGGAGTCGCACGTTCTCGGCTTTCAGCGCTTTGGGACTTTCGACAGTGTGCTTGTGAAAGGAGGAAAGATTGCTGCACTAGGCTCACGGTGGTGTTCGTCAGTTTCTCTTACTTATTCCGGATATTAAAATGTCACAGTTGCTTCAGTGCAGCAGCATAGACACTACGGCCTTGTTATCAGCAGTAAAGCAGCAGTTTGGCAGCTTCTGTAATCGAGCCGTTTCCAGATTTGTATTGTCCACCGCTTCTTCCCCGCTCATATCTTGTTGGCAAGCAGAAGAGTTGGGGTTCTATGTCATAGACGACTGCTAAAGGGTTCGTCTAGTAGGGCGCTCCTGCCCCTAAGTTTTCATTGATGGTTACCACAGCGCCTTGACATCATAGAATGGAGGCCGTAGTAATTGCCTTGTCTCTGAACACCAGGTGTTTACAGTATAAAGCACGCACGCAATTTGACAATGCCCGGTCGACTAGACAATCTTGTCTTTGTTTCGCTGTCGTGGCTTTGGCAACCATCCGGTTCTCCATGCCCTTGGCGGCAGGTTAAGAACTCAATCATGTTGCCCTAGTTTCAAACTTGCAATGACCTGATGCTTTCCTTGAGACTTTTCTGTCAAGAATTGCGAAATATTCCCATGGAATCATGCGGTAGAGCTACTTGAATGCCCAATCCCGAGTGTGTTCCCCATTGATGCCTTGCCTTTGAAGACGCCTTCCAACTATGTTTACCATTGCAAACCGAAAGGTTTAGTTGTCATTCCTAGCGAGCTGGCTTTGGTAATCATAAGCTATAGATCTTTTCATGGGAAGATATCATCTGAAACCGTCTGCGGTGGTGTCTTTGGTGTTGGGAATGACGCACTACAAATATTGCAGCAAATGCGAAACGGTCATTTCCTACACCAAATTGGCTGGATCTGAGCTTGCCTGCCTAAAAGAAGTGATAGACATGTCTGTCAGTCTTTTGCATGGACGTGAAAGGGAATGCTTGGGAAACTGTCACGAAAGGATCTTGCACAGCGGTCCTGGCTCCATTCGGTGCGAATAAGAAGGAAATACCAACGCGATGAGACAAAAGTGTCTTGAAACAGCAAGAGCATTTGCATTTGGAATCGGGTTTGAAGCATAGATCATGATATGAACAATAACACTCGGCGACAACCTTAACAATAATGTGGGATAATCTCACTTCCTGGCCTCTTCGTCAAAGATAGTAGAAGACGGTATTTTCTGAATTGAAGCCATGATTCATCAATGCTGAGTCCATGGCTTCGGCCCTATGAATAGAGACGCAACACCATTGAAGTCATCCTTCGATATAGTCCAGTGGAGGTCAGAGTAAGCCCTGAAAGCAATTGCAAGCTATCTCATTCACGCCACGTTAGCGTTACATACTAATCTCAAAGTGATGTTGGGGAAGAAATCCCAATAACGTCGTCCTTCCTCAGTTTTGAGATACTTTTCTGATAATACACAGACAGAGGTGAATCAAGGTGGAACGACTAGCGGCCACATGAAGCCGGTAGTATGGCGTTGACTGGTTCCTCAGCTTTGCCTCTGTTGGCCAGACGGAGTCGACCGGATTATGTCCACTTCCTCTTCGTGCTCACGAGATTCTGCTGTAAAGGAGGCGATCAACTTTCTCAACAATAACATGCTTTTTATGTATGCTTCATTGCGTCTAAGGTTTGTTCAAACTACCTCTGGAGTACAAAACAGCTAATCCATGATTATTAATCGACAGTCACCAGGTGTCTCTGACTTCACCGTCTTGGATTTGTTGAATATTTGACGATCAAAGCATATGCTAATCGTTCTCCGGGTCATAATCATCTCCTATCTAAGTTTGGTCAGGCCAACCGGTCTCTATTTTGCAGGTTCTCGTCATTATTCGGATGCGATACACCGGAGAAGCTTACCGTCTGACCGCAAACTCTTCTCCATGCAATGGATCGCCCTCTTCTCCTATCGGTTTGCCCTGCTGAGGGCTGTGTCTTCGGCCTGCTGAGATAAGAACCCAACATTGGTGTCCTTGCGTCATTCTAAACTAGGTCGACCCTACAAGTGAGATTTCAAGGCTTGTCGTCATCAGCATCTCGAGATGACGGAGGTGAACGTTGTACGGAAACCCATCAGGTGACCAGTTCTTGTGGATGTGCGTGAAATGAATCAAGAGTTTGAGCTTCGCTGTTACCCAACACATCCCTTGATAGAAGGAAAGATCGTTTGATACCCCGCAAAGCATTTCAGTATAAAGGTAATCAACCCTTGGAGGTTTGAAATGATCCACCGAGGAACCAAATCAAACGGTCATCTTGGGCGGTTTGCGTATGTATTATCACTGGAAACAATATCGAAATCTATGCAGGCGAAGACTCTACCCATAGCATCGAGAGCAGGTCGGTGAGAATATCCTACCGCTTTTCGGGGAGTATTCCGATATCATAAGCCGAGGACAGCGGCGCGAAAAGTCGAAAGACTGCGAACACCCTCATGGCACTAACTACGGCCAGAGAATACAGACATTTCACAAACCCGCTCTAAAGAGCAGAGGACTTGGAAGTTTTGAATCTAGGCTTTCGGCAATGGACTTGGAGAGCATTCTGCCCCGAGGTGAGACTCTTCGTTTAAAGCCCCGTTTTATACAGCCTTGGCTTGCTCAGTATTAGCTAAGGTAGGTCCCTTGTGCTATTCATGTCATGGAAGAGAAGCACTGGATTTCAAGGCTTGTTACTAATCCATAACCCGTGATGACTACGCGAGATCTGTGGGGAATATCGTGATGACGAGCCTCGGCAAAACGGCTCTCGACACCCCTGGTCCCGCATGTCACGGCTCGTCTTTCAACCATTGCGAGACAGTCCCGAAGATGACGAGAAAAGCTTCGCCATTGCGTTGGCAGGGTGCGTGATCTATTGACCGTAGCCCCTGGCCCAGGTACCTTACAGAGCCTGGCTGTGCTCAGCCCGTTGTAGACGCAGGGCATTGAGAGCAATAAGTAGTCCAGCTCAAAAGAATTGCCACGCGACCGGCTTCTAAGGACGACTACACTGACATACACATGAGAATCTACAAAGCCACTGTTATGAATACTGTCATTTGGCTGGGGCAGTTCACGAGCACATCAAGTAACGTTCGGGGATGCTCGTCCTCACAACCGTCAGGGGTAGCTTCTCACTCACAGGAAGATCACCAACATCACAAAGAGACACAGTCTCACAACATCAAACGCGCGTCTCTCTTGGGTAAAACATGTCCCAGCCACCATCAAACAGACCAAGACAGCCGTTCCTCGACCGCTAGTCTCAACCACGTTGTTGCGGGCGCTCAGCCCTGAAGCAGAACGCCATTACCTAATGAATGGAGCATCCCTACCCTCCCTTTCCAGGCCCTCTCGCAAGCGGGCAGTGTTGTTGATCAGATGTCACACCGCACCGTCGGCCTGTTTTAAGGTTTTTGCCTCCTCAGTCGGCAGAACGCGGGGTAGCGAAAGGGGGTGAGAAGGAGGTGAAGATCCGGGGAAGGTAGAGAGAGCTGCAATTTGTACGTAATGGTGAGGTGGGCGAGGGGGAGGCGTGCCGGCGCGTCGGGGGACGGAGGCCCAGGCGGGGACGGCTTTGTTCGCTGTTGCTAGCGAGATCTGAGACCTGGGTATTTGCGCCGACGATGGAACTCGCTCGAATCTGGAGAAGCGAGAGACCCAGAGACGTTTGTCGTCGTTGACGGGAGGATGGGCAGGATGGGGAGTTAAGATGGCAGCTCTCGCGGGACGGACCGTTGTGATCTGTGAGATGTTGCGGGCGTCGAGGGCGACTAGACAAGCTGCGAGAGCTCTTTGACTTGCAAAGGGGTGCTTGGCGAAGTCGCCGGCTGTAACCATAATGTGCGTTTGTTTGTCAACGTGTTCGAAGACTCCGGTTTCTCAACTACAGCCCGTCTGCCGCTCAGACTTCATGGACAATCAGGTTGATGATCACTTCATCAGCCAAACGTCTCAGCACGTTGTCGACGACAAACCCACGATTGAGGCACTCTCAATCTGCATGGCAAAATCACTCGTCAGCATTCGTCAACGACATCGCGAAATGAGACCACACGTTGGCGTCACATCACCAGCCACGACCCCAACGAACAGCAACCCCTCGAGCGAGCACGTTTCCCGCCAACGAAGGCGGGGCCCATGAAAAACCCAGACGACGAACAGACGACAGACGAGGGCGACGGTTTCCCCAGACTCCTCAACTTGCAACAAGAATCGTGGCATTTGCGACATGGGTTCAGAAAGGTCTGGTGACCGTCGTCGTCGCGGCAAACAGAATTTCCATTACCCCCAGGAAACTGCTGACTGGTCGCGCCAGGGGGGCCCAAATTGGATCTTTGACGTCGTCGACCATGTCGTGGGGCCCTAGACAGGGGGTTGTGTGTAGCGGTACCTCACCGGTCTTGACGGACACGGGAACAAAACATGCTGGCAGCAGATCCAGCTCTGCGGACAACAGAAACTGAGAGAGCAGAAAAAAAAATTGGCACCAAAAAAAAAAACTTCCAGCCAGAGGTCCAGAGGAGACTTTCCAGTTCCTTGCATTAGCCCCATCTTTCCCCAGTTGTGGTCCAAGCCTCTGAGTGGCCCAAAGTGCTACGCTACGGCCGAAAGCGGCAATCGATGGGGTAACGCTTTGCTAACAGATTGCCCCAGAACGCAATGGCGTCTTGCGGTTTTCGAGGTGTTTTTTTTCTTCGTTTCCTCAGAAAGTGGCTCCGCGTGACTCCAGAACGCCATCCGGTAGCAGGTTTGCATCACGCGGGCCACTGTGGAAAGTGGGGAGACCGAAAGACTCGAGGAAAAAAAAACTGCTTAGCTGAGATCTGGTTTAGACGAGGACAGAAGGGTGCCACCTCATCTCAGAGGAGCTCGCCTTGCGCCGGTGCAATTGGCAATTTGCGCGGACATGTCCGTTTCGACATAATGCGTGCTTGGCTGACGACGAATTGGACATGTTTGCTGTTTGCTTCTTTGTGCTTCTTATCAAAATAAACAAATCCAGAAAGATATCCTATCTGGGTTTGCTTATTTCGCAGATAACAGCAGGCTCTCAATATCCAATGTCCGGGCATCTTACACGCAACTCCTTAAAGGCCGATGACTGATGGCTCTCTAACACCAGGGAGCATGAGGTAAGTTAGGCAAGGAGAGAGGTAGGCGGACGGCATATGCAGCATGCCTCCGATCAGAAACCCTGTCTCACCCCTACTGTCACATCCCAACATGTCTTCATCATCCCATCGATGCAAGTCAAGCCTCACAAACTGGTCCTCTGAATGCCGTAGGAATGAGGACGACGCGCAGTCATCCACCCAGCTGCATCAAGACATTTCGAGCTCTTACGACGGTACTCCTCCTTGGTCATTCTCACACTCCACTGCGCAGAAACCACTCTCCTGGTACCCTGGTCCAAGTCACGGGGAACAAGAGCAACCAACGACAGCGAACCAAGCTACCCATGAGCTGTCCCAAACCAAGCTCTGCCAGCCCTAGCTCTGGCCTCTAGCCTACAGCAACTAGCTCCGCTCCCGACGTTTCGGGGCCTCGGGACCGTCCTAATTTTGCAACCAAGATCTACCCCCTCAGTCCCTCTTCCGCTCCCACTCTGGCCCCCCCGTCTGCCCCCTCTGAGAAGTACCTACGGCACCGCAATAGAGCCGCCAAAACTTTTCCCTCCAGCGCTAAAAATTCTTTTTTGCAATGGGGCGCGCGAGCTGTACGTAGCTACGTACCGCCAGGTGACTCCTTCTCTCCCCCCCAGTGCAACGCCGTCACTCAGCCCATGGGAAACTTTTTGCACGTCAGGCGGACGCCGCAGAGCCTGGCCGCCGTTTCTCCCTGGCGTGTATGTGTACGATGGTACTTGGCCGCCCACCACCCCTCCCCCCTTCCTCACGCTCACGCCTTCAAAGACGAACCAAACCTATATAGACCATGGACCCTCCTCTGTCTCTCACGATCGACCTCGCTCCCCATCATTGACTCATCCCAAGACATCCAAGCTTCTGCTTCATCCAAGCTCCGTTCCCTCATCCGAGAGTTCAGACGACACAGCCCGTGAACCAACCCACTTACACGGATCACAACCAACACCAAACCTACACCACAACACAACACCACACACACATCCTACAAGATGCCTTCCCAAATCTTCGTCACAGAGCCTCACCCCACGGTGGTACCAAACACCTACATCTACTCGGGCCGCGGCGGCGCCGGCAACATCTTCAAGGCCCCCGTGACCACCCCGGCCACCGGCGTCACCACGCCCCTCAAGCCCGTCTCCGCCAACAACAGCGCCCGCCGCTTCTACTCTGGCATCGGCGGCGCGGGCAACGCCCACAGCGCCACCGAGAGGCCCGTCATCAGCTTCGACGAGGACTTTGACCGCCAGCAGGTCCGCGACCGCGCCGTCGTCGGCCACGTCGGCATCGGCGGCGCCGGCAACGTCTCCCGCCGCAAGGGCTCCGACGCCTCCTCCGTCCTGAGCGAGGAGTCCTCCGCCTCGTCCGGCTCGTCGCTCAAGTCCATCAAGGAGCGCGGCGGCAGCTTCCTCCGCCGTCTCGCCTCCAAGAAGAACTGAGCGGTTCTCGTGGTCTACTGTCTCCACTACATCAACAAAATCATGTCATAAAAAAGCAACGGAACTCAGCAAGGCGTTTGGAAACCAAAAAAAGTCATTTATCGGATATATCATGTGGTCATAGGGGGAAAAGCAAAGGAGATTCTCACAAAGAGAACCGAGAGGCTGTTGCCTTGGAGCAAACACGAAGAAACCGTCTGCAGGAAATCATTCTCTGGCTGGAAGATGCCAGAGACATGGGAGCATAGCGGGAAAAAAAGAACGGGCGTTTTACGATTTTTGAGCGAAGTCGAGTAGTCGACACAATACCCCCCAATTTCATTTGGATAGCATGGCCCATCTGATGATGGAGCCCTTGAATTGAAAGTTTATGAACCTTCATTGTACTCCACCTTGATCCTGAACTGCCTGTGACTTGAGTTTTGAGTATCAAACGAACAACTGCCAAGTCTTCGTGGACGTTGTGTATTCGAACTGGCAATTCTTCCTCGCACATTCTCACTCGACTTGAGTGCACGACATTGGCCCCTCTGCATTGTCAATAAAAGAGGCCGTCATCCCCTCACGATGAAGAACCAGAGGAAAGCCAATGAATGGTTCGTAACTACTAATCCATTTGTAATTCAACAACGCAAAGCTTGCGAATCATGTTTCAAAGTCACAACGGCAACACCAACGCTAAATCAAAATCTCTCGGAACAGCTATGACAGGAATAAATCGACGCTAAACAAGACTGACGGACAACGGCACAGCAAATGATGTGGGCGGCTCTCTCAATGACACTGACGGAGATGTGCCAATCTGCGTGCTCCTCGTGTCTAAAACAATGTGATTTCAAGAAAACGACTTGTGAGCCCTGCGCCCGATTTCTGGCTTGTTGAGTGTGTGCGAATGACACAAACCGGCCAAATATATACTACACATTATCACAATGTTGTCAGTAACATCGACATACCGCCCGGAAGACAGCTGAAAACAGCCTTAGACTGTTGAAAACGGGCAACGTCCATGGAAACAATCATGAACCACATCAATACCAGGACTTCCTCTCCATCAACTCAAAGGACAGTGCCATCTCGTCTCAATCTGTTCCGCCTTACTGACTTTATGGGAGCTGTTTGAGAAACAGCCGGCGAAGGAGACGACTCGTTAGCTACTTGAACATCAACCGGCACCAGACCTACGAGTGAATACTTCAAGGGCAGAAACAAACGATGATGTCAAACCCTCATGCCAATCATAAAAACCTCATGCCTCATAGCATCGCATCACATGTCACCTCAATCAAGCCACAATCCTTTCTTAATCATTGATCAAACCGAGAGCTCTGACATTCGTTGCCCAAGAGACTCCAGATCGTCACCCCAAACACCCTCTTAAATAGCACACGCCCGTAAGCCATACCCGACACTCCCAACACACGCCATTAAACAAATGTCTCGCCCGCACATGGCCTGCGCATGTGAGTATTCACATTGCTTATTCCAAAAGCAACAGGCTTCTAGATGAGACCTTATCCTTATCAAAGAGGTCAGAGCTCCCACGAACCATCTTTCCTTCTCGTCTTATCTCGGCATCATTGCTTTTGAAACCTCCCAGGGCAACTTTCTTATTTCGGCTCTGGTATCTCTGTCACAAGTCAGCCTCGTCATTGGCAGGTGACAATCGTGACATTCAAGGCTAGAGCGCAACAGCGGGCGTTGTATAGTTGGGCATGGATAGCCCGTCATCTATGATTGCTTTCAATCGTCCGTAAGTCTCCACGATATCGATATTAGCAAGCAGCCCACACCATTAATCACACACCTAAACGGGACAACAAGACTCGGGTATCATTCTCAACTTTCTAGCTGACTCATTACCTCAACATGCTGCCTACCTTGCCTGAACCCCTGGCCTCTTGCAACGCCAGGGACGTCTTTTTTAGAAGGGGGTAATCTTTGAAAAACCAAAATCTAGCCAGTCCTCCCTCCGGTCCTCTTCCCGTCGTCTTCCCATGACACATACATTGATTGACATCCGGGAAGAAAAGACATTCCCTTCTTTCGCCACGCGTCTACGGTGTATGTCTTGCTCATCTGATGGAGACACGCCCAGATTCTATTGGAAAAAGCGTGGGCAGAAGAATGTGCAGAGTAAACGCATCTAGAAAGCCGCTTCGTATAAAACTCAAAACGCAGAAGCCGTCTCACGTAAACTTCGTGTGGATGATATCCGGGTTCTCGTGCCAGTCGTCGATGCTCACCCACATCTGTCCCGGTTGTCAACATTTCACTTCATCTCCCCGGGACAAAAAAGGAAAAACTCACCTTTCTGAAAGTGCTGAGACCAGCCAAGATACTTCCTCCGATCCATGTAGAGTACTTGCGCTCCGGCGGCGCAAAGATCTTTATCCTCATGTCCTTGACGGCCAACCGCTGCAGCTCCGTGAGAAGGCGGTCGCCGAAGCCCTTGGTCAGCGTGCTGCCTCCCGAGAGCACAATGTTGCTGTACAGCGACTTGCGCAGGTCGAGATCCGTCCTGTTGATCGCGTCGACGACGATCTGGTGCACGCCCGGGTATTCGAGGCCGATGATCTCGGGGTCGAAAAGGATTTCTGGTGCCCTGAAGCGTTCCGCGCCAATCTGACATCACGGT